AGTTTGTGTGCATAATTTTACTCCTTGTCAATAGAGGACGTTCTCACTGAAAATTTTGGAATATTTTCAAAATAAAGCGTATCTCTCTAACTCTCTAACGCCCACACCAAACTGTCCATTGGACTTACTTAAGACCTCCTCCTTTTCCTCATCCTCGGGTGAGGAACGCACCAGAAACAGACCGAATGCATAGGTCAAGTCGATCGGAATGTTCACTTGGGAGCAGACTTTCTACAATAACAAAAAGAGAGAAGAGGCATCATGCCGAAGATAGAACCTGCCGTCTCATCTTTGCCTGAACATATTGTCGGAAATATAATTTTAAAAAAGGCCCTAACGGCTCTGGGGGTTATGGTAGATAGTTCGTTCGATGCCAGTGCACAGGAAGAGGAGGAGGAACGGTAGATATTTTATAATTTGATAGAAAATATTCTTTGGGAAAAAGGAACCAAACTTTGTTGTAAATTTTCGACGCTGGCACACCAGGTCGTCTTCGAACGTGGGGGAAATGTGTGAAGAGCAGTGCGAATTTTTAAACTTGCCAAAAAATCGATAATGCTGGGTCATCCATTGTCAATAGCATGCTTTGGTGGTTTGCACTTTTTCCTGGCTTTTTTTGAGATTGGTATACATTGAGTCAACGTGCCTATTGGTGCATGATTCGTCAGAATTAATAGCTTCCAAAAATTATTAGCCTTTCTTTTATATTAAGGAACCTACTATGCGGGTTTGGTCCCATGCAAACATCAGTTTACCGCAAAAAGACCTATGTTGATGTGATCCTTCATAACAAGAGCAGCCACCCTATTGCTCACAAACGGAGTACTGTTATCAAACTAATGAATCGAGCAAGAACGCATTGTTTTAGTCCCGAACTCTACCAAGCAGAACTCAACTACCTGTTCCAATTTTTTTCAAAAATCGGTTGCCCCAGAGAGTTCGTGCGTCGATGCATGAAACGACAGGAGTTTAAACAAAAAGACACGGAACTAGATTGTTCCGATCAAACGCCTAATAAAAGAAATTGGCGAACACTTTCATACATTAAAAACGTGTCTGAACTCGTTGAAAGACACCTGAAGAAGTACCAGATCCAAATGGCGCACAAACCACAGACCACACTTCGAAATCAGCTTGTACACCCTAAGGATAGAGTTGGCTATTTTAACAGAAAATAGGTCGTTTATAAAATTCCTTGCGGTGACTGCGATGCAATTTATTGCGGACAAACAGGAAGGTCCGCTACTACACGCATACATGAACATCAATTAGCGGTAAAGAGGCGCGACAAGCTGTCCGAAGTCGCCATGCATTCGCTTGAAAGTGGGCACAAGTTTGCATGGGACCAAACCCGCATAGTAGGTTCCTGCCCACATAAGAAAGGTCGATAATTTTTGGATGCCGTTAATTCTGACGAATCATGCATCAACAGGCACGTTGATTTGGATTCAATGTA